ATTCTTCGCAAGAAGACGATAGAGAAACTTGATCGTATTCTTTGGAGTTGTGACTTAGCTCGCACCGCTTGGAGTTTTTTCTTGGAGGAGTTTAGTTTATCCTTGGCTAGACATAGGGTTGCAAAGGGATGATCAAGGTTCCTTCTCCACCCTCTCTTTCATGAGAAGAGAATGCTCTTGAAGCGAACCAGGGTGTGTGTGATTTTGTAGGTGCTTTGGGGAGAGAGGAATACCATAATTTTTAAAGGGCTTCAGTAGTGAAGCATTTTTTAATTACTCTTTACCTCTTGCTTTACTTGAAAAAGAAAGAGAAAAAATAATAATAATAAAACTATGAACTGAAATTATGTGAAAGAAAATTGGCATACAAGTCCAAGGCTGAAACGAATCTCCTAGAATACTGACAGGTAAGAAAACAAAACCTCAATCTCAAATACACTGTTGGCAGCATCTCCAGCTCCATCTTGCTGCGGTATAAACCCATTAGTCTGGTACTGGGAAGCAAAACCATCACGCTTTCGCTTCCCAGAGTTCATCATGAAAAAGTCCTGAGAATTGTTTCCCTAAGTTAAAATATCATACTGAAGTTTTGAGCCAATAGAGCATGGCAGCAAGGAGTAGAGTAATTCAAAATCGAAAGCAGATGAAATTCACAGTGGAGTTTCGGGGTTCAGATCAGGCAACAATCTTTTCTTATGGAAGCATGAATCAAGAAAGAAGTTACCTGTGTAAGGGCTGGGTGAGGAACTCCCCTGTCTGCTTCATCACGCCCCTCCACATAGGCTACAAAAATGAAATCAATAAAAATTACAACAGAATAATTGGTGCGAAATTTTTTCACTATTTCAACACTAGACTCACCAATATTAACGTCTACAGGAGCTTTTTGACCCATCCAAGAGGGTGGTTGCTGAAAGAAGAATGTAACGTCTATCAAAACCCCAATTAACGGCATGTTCAACTATCAACAGCATACTTTAAATTATCGATGGTAAGAATCATAAAAATGCCATTCTTCAACTTAAAATCAGGTCAACGGCCACCAAGCTACATATAAATCCTTCCTTTTATCAAAGAAATAAAGGTGAAAAAAAATATGTAAATCATGACCGTATGGAGTGGGTAAACTGCAGGGAATGAGAAAGTGTAAGGATTAATTGTAGCATCAAAATCAAGCAGTAATTACCATAAATTGGGTTGGCCTTCCAGATCGGACATCAACATTACTAGCGCTACCTCCAGGAGTGGTAACAGCTGGAGAAGCATCAGTACCAGATGCAGAGTGGTCGCTGGGTCCAGTAGGAACATTATACATAGCGTTGTCAGCAGTTCCCGGTAAAGGGGTTTGAATTGGAGTTTGTAGTGGCGTCTACAATTACCAAAATCGCTTCGATTATTAATTATGAACTTCGGAAATCATTTAATAGAGAGGATAAGAGAAGTAATCACCGGCGGGAAGAGTAAATCAGCTGTAGGAGTTTCGTACTCTTCAGTCCCCTCATACGGAACATTGAGATCGTGAACCGGAGTTATTGGACCACCGGGTGTGGGCTTCGACGGTGCAGACCTCTCTATGGGACCGTTCACGGCACCCGCTTGCATCATTTTCGCCTCCCACATCTAAAAAGTTCCAACAAAGAAAACAATCAGCCCAACCACAGCTTAAATCAACTTCAAAACCTCAAAACCCTAGAATGAAATGGATCAAACTCAGAAAGTAATCACCGAAAAAATTCAATCGATTCCTTCAAATGGATTGAAATAGAAACCAAACATTCATTCACTATCGAAGCTAAGAGTATCAAGCAAGGAAGAATAACAAGATTTTCAAGATAGGAGATCAATAATTACTCCTTGAAGCTCCTTGAGAACGTCCTCTCCAGGACCATTATCAGTGAACTCGTCGCGAAGCTTGTTGACAACATCTTCAATGACATTGATGTAGATAGAGCTGGTCGAAATCGCCATAACGGATCCGCTTCGCCCTGTCTACCTCCGATTCCCTCCACTAGCGAAATCCAGAATCGAGTCTTCGAGAAAACTCAAGGAAGAAGAAGATCCATACAATCCGTATAAGCTTCTTGGATTTGTAGAGTTGTGTGAAGTAAAAGGGCAGAGGAGGCGATAAAGAGGGGCGACGGGAATAGAGAGAGAGAGAGAGAGAGAGAGAGAGAGAGAGAGGGAAAGAAGGGTAAGAGAGAAAGGGAGAAAGGCGGACAAGAAAAGGAGAATAAAGAGTGGAATATAAATAGGTTTGCATCCGATTATAATGCACGAATCCACGTGGCGAAATATGCTTGAGCCTCATTTTTCCCGGTTTTTTTTTCGGTCTGGCTGGTTCGATCCATGTCTGCATTTTGTGCAACGAAATTGGATATATATATATATATGTAAATTAGGCTTCTTATAAATATTATAAATATTATTATTATAATATATATATAACACATATATGATGGAAATATTTAAATTAATGTTAAATTTTGATCTAATATTTTTTGTTGGTAAATATTATATTAGATTTTTGTTTACATTTTTTTTAATAAAAAGTAAAATAGAAATAAAACTTTTATAAGGGGAATTTGATCCCATGCATTCTCCCCCAAAAAATTTCTCCTTTAATTTCTACAAAAATAAATGAGAAATTAGCCGTATGAAAAATAAAAATTCAGAAGAGATCGGGACAGAAGAAGAGAGAAAAGTAATCCACTTAATAGAAGGCCGCCACATGTTTGTGTACGACTCCAATTCAATTACCAGTCACGAATATCTGAGAAACCCGAAGGCGAACAAAGACTAGACACTGGAGACCGAGACAGAAGAAGGGGGAAAAGTAATCCACTGAATAGAAGGTCGTCACGTGTTTGTGTACGGCTCCAATTCAATTACTAGTCATGAATATCTGAGAAACCCAAAGGCGAACAAAGACCAAACACTGACCAACGTGGTCAACGTCTCTTCTCCAAATGGCTGCGATCATAAAGAATCGATTGTGAATGGTATAATATTGTCCGTTTTATCTCAATTTATCAATTTTCCTCGTGTATAGATACTAAAATCAAATCTCTTAAACTGAATTAAATTTCATTTAGGAGCGTAACAACCAAGTTCCCTGCTAATAGATATTGTCTGCTTTAACTTGTTACCTATCATTGTTGGCCTCACGATTTTGAAACACTTCTATTAGGGAGAAGTTTCCACACTCTTATAAGAAATATTTCATTCATCTCTCTAACCGAGGTAAGATCTCATATGACATTTTATATTATCCATAAACAAATACGTAAGATCTCACTTGACATTATATATTATCCATAAACAAAAATGACAACTTGAGTTCCTTATGAACCAATGAGCTAAATAGAAAGTTCAGAACAGAGGACAAGAAGACAGCCGAAAACAGCCACAATTTCAACATGTTACAAAGTTTTCTATATATATATATATATATATATATATGTATATGTATATGTATATGTATATATAACAGAAGCAACTAAGACCCAGATGGTCATATACTGTAATTCAAACAAAGGATAAAAACTCAGCAAGGAACCAGCAGAAGGATATCACCAAGAACAGAGAACAATAATAAATAAACACTCCGATCCTCCTCCAATTCCCTAATCTCCACCGCCTCCGCCACCTCCCTCACCGCCGTGGACATGAGTGCTGCCACCATCATCATCATCAACAGCATCCATGGTCACCGCCGTGACCGCAATGGCAGCCACAGCGGCGGCGCTGCCTGCTGCACTTGCATCACCTGTGTTTCCGTTTCCATTTCCATTACTATCACTACTAGAGGAATGCTTACCTTCTTTGGCACCAGATTTGCGGCGAGAAGGCTTTGATTTGGAAGATTTCTCCGATCCTCCATCAACTTTGTGGCTGTTCTTATGGCGAGGAATACAGAAACAGATCTTTGAGGACTCCATTGTTGAGCTTCCTTCCCTGCTTATGTCTTCCTCATGAGTTCCTTTATCCAACCTGTAGAAAGCTTTGTAAATAAGTGTCAATAAATATGTAAACATCCCTTTCCTTTTCCCTTCTTTACTCTGAAGTTGTTTGTAGGGGAAATTTTCCAATTGGTGCAATCCAGCTAGCTTAAGGGACACAATAATAGCTCTGAGAATAACTTTTGTGATTTGTCCTCATATTTTGATGATTGAGAGCTTGAAACGAGTGTAATTGTAACGGCCCAGATCCACCGCTAGCAGATATTGTTCTCTTTGGATTTCCCCTCAAGGCTTTAAAACGCGTCTGCTAGGGAAAAGTTTCCACACCCTTATAAATGATGGTTTGTTCTCCTAGCAGAAGGTTTCCACATTCTTATAAATGGCGGTTTGTTCTCCTCCCCAATCAATGTGGGACATCACAGTAACCCTAAACCCTAAACCCTAACACTACAGCTAAAAAAAAAAACAGGGAAAAAAGAGGTGAGTTTCTGATCCATTTTTGTAACTTAGAGAACGTAGTAAGCATATTTCAAAAGAAAAATAATATTGAATATTGAATATTGAATCTACAATAATTTGATCCAGCCATGATCCAATAGAAAAGTTGATTGTGTCTCCTATCAAATCTATCTAGTGTTCATTTACTAGATCTTAAAGATTCAATTAGAATTAAAGGCAATAAATCCTTGGAATAGAACCGTCTGAAACATTAAAAGAATGATCTACTGAATTCAATGAAAAAAGAAAAAGAAATATGAACGTACTTTAGCTGTGAGATCCCACGTCGGTTGGAGAGAGTAACGAAACATTTCTTATAAAGGTGTGGAAACCTCTCTCGAGCAGATGAGTTTTAAACCATGAGACTGACGGCGATACATAACGGGCTAAAACAGACAATATCGGTGGGTTTGGTCTGTAACAAATGGTATCAGAGCCAATCACTGATTGGTGTGTCAGTGAGGACGCTAGGCCCCAAAAGGCAGTAGATTGCGAGATCCCACATTGGTTGGAGAGGGGAACAAACATTCCTTATAAGGGTAACTCACAAGTTTTAAAACTGTGAGGCGGATGGCGATACGTAACGAACTAAAGCGAATAACATCTACTAGAGGTGGGCTTGGGCTGTTATAGCCATACTCTGTACGAGAGAAAGAGATTGAGGATCTTACAGGCGTGTAAGCCCGTTATATGCCTGTGTAGTCTGCTGGAGTTGCGTTGACAGCTCCAATGCTTCTGCTGATAGCGATTCTGCTCTGTTCTGTTCTTTTGCAAGTTGGCGCTTGAACAAAATTATAGGAAGATCAAATCATTAGTATAATGAATTACTTAGAAGTATGAAGCTAAAGAAAGCAAGGTAACAGATTAAAGCTGAAAGTTCCTATAGAAGAAATAACAAGTTCGACATAATCAATAATCACTTAAACTAACATACGGCTAAATATTCAACTTCCTGAAAGGACTTCCAACTTCATTGAGACTTCATCATATATGTGCAGAGAAATGCCTCCTAAGCAAGAGACTAACCTTGAAGGAGAGAAGTTCAGCTGTTAATGGAGGAGTCTAGGTGTTAGCTGCCACATCTCTATATGACACCTCCAATTGGAGAAAGGAACTAAACATTCTTTGTAAATGTGTGAAAACTTTTCCTAGTAGATAGTTTTAAAAAAAGTTGAGGGAAAGCTAAAAGGGAAAGCCCAAAGAGAATAATATCTGCTAGCGATGGGGCTTGAGTTATTACAAATGGTATAGAGTCAGACACCGGGCAGTTGCCAGCGACCCACATTGGTTGGAGAGAGGAACGAAACGTTCCTTATATGTCGATTGGAGAACGGAATTAAACATTTCTTATAAGAGTGTAGAAACCTTTCCACCGGATACGCATTTTAAATACCTTGAGCGGAAGCCCGAAAGGAAAAGCACAAAGAGGATCATATATGGTAGCGATGCGCTTGGGTTGCAACATATCCTAAAGAGGACAATATCTGCGATGTTGCAGCCGCTGCAACAGGTCCTGTGCTAATTTATCACATCATCAGTAATGCTAGGAGGAGCAAAATGAAGGGAAAGGGGAAAAATAATAAAAGAACATCTAGACTGCATATACTTGGGCAACAATTGCTGCATCTTTCTCCATGGCTACATCCTTGAGAGCTTTAACCATGGTACAGTGTTCGTCTCCTAAAACATTTAGGTAATGTTGAAATCAAACTGAAATATCAAATTCTGAAGACTCCTGTTTATTATACAAATTCTCTATTGTATGAAATCGGACAGCAATTGCAACAATTGGCCATTAATCATTCATGCCGCATTTTCCCAACTATAGATGAATTTTATCAAAACAACTAAGTAAAAATACATAAGAAACTGTTGAAGATGAAATCTAAGAATCAGTACCAGAATTTCAAGATACAAGAACATGACCGACAAAGTTAATAATACAAAAGAAGTTTCTAACTCCAAAACATCAAGCAAGCGGAAGGTTCGGCGTGGCGGGAAAAAAAAAACATGATCCTACCTCTGAGAATCGACTTCCGCTCTCTGATTTTCTAACGCCAGAAGTTTCTGTTCCAATGAAACCAAATTACATCCACAACCACGCAACATTAATTCCATACGAATCAACAATAACAAACCATTTGATTTGGAGGCTGCGGTCAGATCTGGTCCGGAAGAAGCTTTTCTCAATCTCTCGGCCGCTCTCTTTTGCCGAATTTCACAAACACACTGAAGGCATTATGGGGCGCAAGAATACGAACAAGCAAAAAGTTCTTAGCGTTCGTCGACCTAGAGATGCGTGGTGAGCGTCCTGACGAATTGCGAGAAATGAACGAGAAAACGCTCTCTATTTTTTTTATTATATTAACTGAACGAGTCTCATCATCAATAAGGTCTGGGTGGTGTAGTTGGTTATCACGCTAGTCTCACACACTAGAGGTCCCCGGTTCGAACCCGGGCTCAGACAATCATTTTTTCTCATTTTCTTCCTCTTTTTTCTTGGATCCCAATAAAAATTATATTCGAATATAATATGGTTAATTACTAATTACTATTCTTTTAGATCAATAATTAAAGGATAATTTACTTCTTTAACTTAATTAATAATTCCCAATTTTGCAACATTTGTCCTCTTTAACTTAATTAATAATGATCTGCATTTAATAAATTTGTCTTTTGTTTTATCTCTTTAATTTTTCAGTTAAAAAATTTACATAATAACACAATATCCTCATTTTTATTTTTATTGTTTTAATAAATATGTGAGCCATAACAAGTGTCCAATGAAAATCACTAATAAATTACCAATATATCCAATATTTTTCAAATTAATGAATTTATTATTCGTGAAATTGAAAGTTCAAATAGAGACTTAAAAAATTAAATGACGGGAACTACCCTTTGTAAAATTATAGTTACCTTTTGCTTTTCACTTATTTCCTCCACAAATTTTGAAGGATCATATCTGTTTAATTGCTAAAAAAAAAAAAAAAAAANTGTTTAATTATTAAAAAAAAAAAAAAAAAAGGCAGCCAGTCACAAACATATAGAACTCAGTAATCCCAACTGTCTCATATCTGTTTAATTGCTAAGCCAACAAACGTAAGAATTTCTGAACAAAAGTTGCAGATGAAGAACAAATACAAATCAAATTCCTAAAGGGAATTGTTATATGAATGGGTTAGTAAAGGAATTAAGGAAGAAATTTGGAAACTGTTGAAAATAACTAACAACAGATCAATTATGAAATAGAGGGGTAAGAGAAACCTTTGATGCAAGTTATCAGTTCTGTCTTTCTGAATCTGCTCAAGAAGAACAGCAACCCTTTCTGTCCGAGTCCCCGGTAGTATCGGAAACGTCGATGGTGGTTCCTTGACTGGGACGGGTGACACTAGCAGCCGCTGCTTCCTTGGCTGCCAATGCCTTTTTGCTGATGATATGGTAGATCTCTGTCAAGATAGTTTGGAATGCCTTGTCGATATTAGTGGCATCCAAGGCTGATGTCTCGATGAAGGAGAGGCCTTCTTTCTCTGCCATGCTCTGCCCATCATCCTCTGAGACAGATCTAAGATGACTAAGGTCAGATTTGTTTCCAATCATCACAATCACGATGTTAGAGTCTGCATGATCCCTCAGCTCCCGTAGCCATCTTTGTACATTCTCGAACGTCGGTCTCTTTGTCAGATCGTAGACTAGGAGAGCGCCAACGGCTCCCCTATAATAAGCACTCGTAATCGCTCGGTATCGCTCCTGACCTGCTGTGTCCCAGATCTGTGCCTTGACTGTCTTCCCTTCTACCTGTATGTCAATAATATTGGCTAAAATGAGATGGCTAACATTTCAACTACTAAGAGTATAGAACTCTGAAATGGAAAATGCATCAGGCTGAATAATATTTGCCCAATTCAGTGATATCGTCAATGAGGGCAACCCTCCATCTCACTGGCCTTCCTTTCTTATAACAGAATTTTGGGTGTAGGACAAACAAGAAAAGGTGGGACTGGATTCAGAATGCTTGAATACTGGATAACTTTGGTTTGAGACTGAGATCCCGCATCAGTTGGAGGGGAACGAAGCATTCCTTATAAGGGTGTGGAAACCTCTCCCTAGTAGGCACGTTTTAGAACTGTAAGGCTGACGGCGATACGTAATGGTCCAAAACGGACAATATCTACTAGTGGTGGACTTTAGCTTTAGTTTGAGACTGAGATCCCGCATCGGTGAGAGGGGAACGAAGCATTCCTTATAAAGGTGTGGAAACCTTTCCCCAGTAGACACGTTTTAAAACCGTGAGACTGACGGCGATACGTAACGGTCCAAACCAGACAATATCTCCTAGTGGTGGACTTTAGCTATTACAGAGATCTCTATCTCCCACCTCCAGCATGTTCAAAAATTTCAGAATCTTTGCTCCATTAACTCATAGCCTTTCACAAGAAAAATGGCTATCCCTAAGCAAATATCTATTGGTTTGGCCATTATAGGATGAGCATACCCTAACTTCTCTATCTTTTAGTATAATAAACATGGGGTATGAGAATTTGAAAATCCAATTTCAAAGAAAGAAGCATATGTCAATTATTGTTGAGCTATGTTCAATGTTGACAGCATACCCAACTTTTCCCAAGAAACTCATGGTTTTATCTACATTTGAATCAGTTAAAGAGAACAATCCTTCAATAATACTTGCCATTATTGAAAACACTCTAAATTTTAAGAGCATGAACACTTGCAAAATTAGTGGAATACTATAAATTCGGGAAAAATAATTCTGCCAATTTCCTACTGCTCCACAACTGCCCACAACCATATTTTAGAATAATTGAGCACACATGGTTTCATTGTCTCACAGTCTTCCATGGACACAGCTAAAAATTCAGATGGTTTGCTTGTTAGATGAGCAACATATTACTTATTTTCCATAAATCCAGCACTTATTCATTCAATTCTAAATGTTTGTAGCCTCAAGCAATAAAACAGCTACCTCGAGCTTTACTCAAACCCTACATACAATGAAGCCACTGCACTTTAACGATTGGAAGTAGAAACCAAGGCGGAAGCTACAAGTTAGAAATCATCCGAACCTAAATTTTTGAAGTTCGTCGAGCACAAAAGGAAACTCATGCGCTCGATCAGTAAATTGAAAAAATGATAATTAAAAAACACGCAAAATGAAAGGAAAAAATCTCTGAGAGTTCAAACGATTGAGCTTCTACCTGGAGAGTCCTGGTCGAGAACTCAACACCAATGGTGGATTTGGACTCCAAGCAGAACTCATTTCTGGTAAATCTAGAAAGAATGTTGGACTTCCCGACGCCAGAATCCCCGATCAGAACAATCTTGAACAGATAGTCATACTCGTGGTCCACCTTATGAGCCATAGCCGTCTCCGCCTCAAATTTATCGAACAAGCCTGATCCAAAAGTAAAAAATTCAGCAATTGACAATCCAAACCCGAAAGAATCGCAATCATCTACAGTAGCTGAAACGAAAACTTGAAGAAGCAATGGAATCCCCAAAATGGGAACGAAGAACTCAAACCTGTTGGCGAAGAAATGGAGATAACTTCAGATTGGATTGGTCTGTAGGAAATAAGTTCGACTACGAAGACTGCGACAGAAGAATCGAAGGAAGAAAGCAGAGAGAATTAAGGAGGGAAGTTTCAGGCAGAACAGGGAAGATTTGATGGAGTTGTGGTCTGTGGCGAGAGCGAGCCAAAAAGGTGGTGAAGAAAATAAATAAATAAATTTAATAAATACGGAAATTCTTTTATTTTCGTATTTTTTAAAATTACTTAATAAAATTTTTAAGCTGAAATATTTAATATCTAAGTGGATTTATCAGACCAATAACTAAAAATTTATGAATTAATTATATAATTTTCATTAAATTTAAGTTTTAAAAATGTTTAGTAAGTCATTCAAATTACGTGAGACGGACGTTTTACAAAATTAACCAATAATTAATTATGAAATTGAATTAAAAATTAAATAACATGTAAAAAAATAATTTATTTGTAGTAAAAAAATAATTAACTCCGGGGAAGAGATTAAAATTCTTTGTACTTCACGTTTTTTATGGTAAAAAAATAATTTATTTGTAGTAAAAAAAATAATTAAAATACTAATTTTTCACTTATTATTATTGGAGATTAAAAAATAGGTTGGAAACGACGACGTGCTGCGGGGCTGGCGGAATCTTTGTGTTCTCGTGGGTGGAGGGGAGTTGAGATTTAGCGCTTAGGGCAGCCAGCGAATTTGGGCTGGCAGAGGCTCTGTGGGCCGTGGGCGTCGACGTTGAAGCGACGTCGTTTTGAATTTTATATTCAATTCACGCGCTGTCTGGTTACCAATAATTCTATTAAATTAAAGACAAAAAAAAAAAAAAAAAAAAAAAAAAAAAAAAAAAAAAAAAAAAAAAAAAAAAAAAAATTTTCAATTTAATCCGTAANTATTTAAATTATTTACTAATATTTTAGCTAAATTTTATTGGTTTTTTATGTTATGAATTAATCACAAATATTTAATTTGCAAATTAGGTCTTGATTAATTTTTTAAATAAACTGAAATTATAGTGAATTTAATCTAAAATTATAATTTGACTAATTTTTATTAAACTTTTATTTTTCATTTATAAGTTTAAGGATTGTGAGAGTAAATGATTTAGTGGGCCGGCCCAAAACATACGGCCCAACAATGTATTTTTAGCTTCCACTCACAAAAGCAGACCCAATGTTTTAATATTTAAAATTATTTTAAAGAATTATAGATAACTTACTTTTACTTTTTAATAAATAAAAAAACATGTTTTCCAATTAAAAAAAGGAAGAGCGTTAAACAAGGAAGTGCGGGATGGGCTGTCGTGTCGGGTAGCTAAAAAAAACCTTTTTTCTTTTCATTAAAAAAAACCCTTTTTTATTTTTATATGTAAAGAAACCAAATATATTTTCAATATTTTTTAATTAATTTTGAGACTTTGATTATAATATTTAAATTAAAAACCAGACCGTTAATTGTAATTATATTATATTATTAAAATTTGAATTATCAAAAAATTATATTGATAAAATAATATATATTTGGTCATGAAATATATAGATTTGTTATAAAATAAATTTATAATTTTTAAATAAAAATTATATTGAAAAATATAAAACTTCAAAATTATTTTTGGTAGGTGTAGACAACTAACTATGGGATTTGCAACAAGGGAAAATGACCGGTCAATTAGCGAATGATATCCCGCCACGTGGATCCCAAAGTTTAGTGTCTAAATGCTACAATTCGTTAAATCATTCCATCACTTGAAAAAGAAATGTATCCGTTTTTAAGGACAACCTGAATGCTTTAAGAGCTTATAATAAAGTGATATTTGCATTATAAATTTTGGTTATATTCTTTTATTTTTATTTTTTTGTGTTTATATGTATACTTTTAAAATTTAAAATTTTAAAGGTTAAAATTGTAATTTAAGCCTAAGCATTAATTATAAAAATGGGATGAATTTCAAATTATTAATTTTAATTTTTTATTTTTGTAACTTAAACTTAAAAACATTATTTACACCCATATGTTTTTTTTTTTAATTTATTTTCAAAACTAAATCAATTTTTTTTATTTATTTTTTTTTTTTTTTTGTTAAAAAAATATGAAAAACAAACAAAATATAATAATTATATAAACGAAACTTAAATTGACTTTTAAAAGAATAATAATTGAATTGCCGTTTTTAACTTAAATTTATAGATATGATTATACAAATAAAGTAAATTCTTCATTAAAACTTAATAATTAATCAAAATAAGTTATCAATTTTTATATACTATGGTATTTATTTGATCGTGTTAATAATGTAAACCATATATAAGTTGGATCGAAACTTTATTATTGTGATTAAAACGTTGTAGCGTTTATAATGATAACATATAATAAAAAAAATTAAAAAATAAAGGCATGTTATGGAAATGATATCATATAATATAAGAATAATTAAATTTGGAAAAATAAAAGATATGGCAATTATAGCAGTGGGTTCGACATTTGGTTTAATCATAAACATAGGATTGGTTGGTGCATGGGATCTACAAGGTTATCATGCTGTTTCAGCTTTATGCCAACTCACACCAATTTTCTTTTTATTTGAGATCACTTTTATTTTTTATTTATTTTTTTGTTAAATTATCCAAATTCAAAATATATAATTTTGCTTTCATCGTACCGGCTAGAAGCAGATATTACCGAGCTTTACCTAAGTTTTAAAATGTGGCTAGTGTTCTTGCTTGCACACTGCCTAGTGTCTGACTTAGATTTTAAACCATGGTCGATACTATTTGTAGCAGATCAAACCTCATTATTAGCTGATATTGTCTTTTTTTAATTTTCCCTTATGGGCTTCCCTCCCGATTTTAAAACACATATACTAGATGGAGGGTTTCATTCTATTATAAAGGAATGTTTCGCTATCCTCTACAACTGATGTGAGACTTCAGAGTTAAAATTTGAAAATCTATTTTTAATCGTTTAACCAATTTACATCGAGAAGGTTCGATTTTTTACTTAAAATAAAAGAGTTCATGATAATTATCACTGATATATGTTTATGTCAACAGCCTCGACCGTTGTTGAGTATTGAGAATCTAGAGTCTAAATTTTGGGCTTTAAGAGTCTTTGGTAGAATTAGGGTTTCCATGAATTTAGGTTAGGAGTATACTTTTTGATCAAAAGTCTCTTTTCGTTGAATCTACGTGATCAACTCAACCAGCTCATGCATAAGGCTCACAACCTAGCTCAACCCTACCATACTTTTAAGGTTGTTATGAAAAGCTAGCATTTGGCAGTGATGCATTGTAACTGTGAAGGTTCGATATCTGAGTTTCACGAAAGTTTGGATATTAATAACATACCGTGGATAAGTAAGTTTGATTAGGTTAAGTTGGGTTGTAAATTTTATTCGGCTCATTCAAGTTACCAACTCAACCATCCCGAAATTTTTCCCAATCCAACCTGTATACAACCCCTATTCAACCATTTATTTCAGTGAAACTCATTATAGAATCGACCGGTGACAAGCGAGACGAAATATTTTGAAATAAAACAGATAAATTCTACAATTTTTTAATGGTGCAGAACCTCTCCATAGAGCTAGACATTTAGGTCTTAATGCCGTGATCAAACAAAGGAGAGTGGATGCTTGAATTTCTCGACCTATACCTATTATTTAAATTCAAATATTCATATGGTTATGCATAACATTCTTCATATTTATAAACTTTATAACATATTTATTATAACTTTAATTAAATTCTACCAAATAAGTAATTTTTGTTCAAAACTATTATTTATTATAAGAATTATTGATGCTAGAATATAATAATAGGACCAAAACTATATAAAAAATAATGTGTGACATTATTATTAAATGCTATAAGGACCATTAGCAATAATTGGACATAATATACATATAATTGTATAGTAGTGGTCAACATAAACGAGTGGGTTGCCTTGAATTTCTCAACCTATACCATAGCTTGCATTCAAATTTCTCACTATTTAAAACATTATTATAATCTACAAACTCCAAATATTTAATGCTTCTAAAGGCTATATTAATTACTCCCTATAAAGTTAACTTGACAAATTTATAAATATGGGAAGAGTATAACGACCCATGCCCAAAATTTGGAGTTCAAATTCGGCACCTGATAGCTTTGACATTTTCCTGCATCTCCTAGACATAGTCACGTCGTTTCAACATGTTTTATTCACATTCACGTGCATCATAGAAAAATTCTAAGGAGATCACCTAACGTAGAATTATTTCAAATAAAACATGCTTGATCGAACCACTGAAAATGAAGGTATACCTTGTTGATGTAGACAGCGACTTTCAATTAAGCTTGTCTTAGTCATCCTATCTTAAGACCTCTCAGTAGCTATAAAATATAAAATTGATAAAAATACTCATATTCTTCTATTTACAGATTAAAATTACATTATTTTAGTTTTTATTTAAAAATCTAATATATTTGGAAAAAAAAAACGAAAATAAAATGATATTATTATTATTATTCTTTTCTTTTTCCAAAATATAATTCAAATTTTTTTAATTAATTTTCTGTTTTCAAAATATCATAATTCAAACAAAAAAATCGAGATTTTAAATCTAAATTCTTTTGAAATTAGTATATATTTGAAATAATTCGAAAGTAGAAGGCATGTTCCAGAAGGAGGAAGTTATACGGTGTGTAACTTCTTACAATAGATCGGTCAAAGAGAGACCGCGTCAGCCACCTGATAGATGCCACGTGCCATGATAAAAAATAATCACAGATCGATTTAGCTAAAAACTTTTCACTTCTGGTGGGCCCCGCCGATGAAAAGCAGTTGTAAAAGTTAAAAAAATCCGATCGTCATTTATTAATGATTTTACACCATCATTAATTTTTTTTTTGAAAAATAAATAAATAAATAAAGCAAAAGAAAAAGGAACTTACATGTTTTCTTGAAGTTAGATTTTTATATTGTTTCCCTTTTTGCCAATCCAATTATATATATATATAAATAAAAAGAATCTAACATTGTTTTTTTCCCTTAAATATCGTATTTTAATTCATAAAATTAAATAAATGTTAATGAAAATCCTTCTTAATTATTAAAAATGTTTAAACACTACGACAATACAACTAAAATACGAGGATTTTAAATTTTGAATTTAAGAAAAAAATATACTAATCATTAGAGATATAATTATGGATTTAAAATTATAATTTTTTTAAAAACATAATCCTTAAACTCTAAATATTGACTTTAAAATGATAATAAATACCTAATCTATATGGTTATTTGTATCTATTGATTGTGGATTTTTTTAAAAAATGAAAAAAAGAAAAAGAAAAAAAAAAGAGGGAATTTATGGGAAAGCGGGTAAATGAAAAAACGGAGAAAGTGGGACCCAGAACCATAACCCGAGGCTGTGCAGGCCTTACGAAACGACGTCATTTTCTTTGGAGCCGTCAGATAAAACGATGCAAGCTCCTCTTTCATTTCGCTGTCACAGTGTATAATTACCTCACCACCAAGCCAGTTCTAGCCAGTCGCCAGTCTAGAAATCGAAGCCAAAACCTGCTCTCTCTCTCTCTGCTTCGTCTCTCTTGATGAAATGAATCTTCTGGTTCTGGAGTGTTGTGCGTTCAGAAACTTTTTTTGCGAATATTCTCTCTGATTTTCCTCCGAGTTGTAGCTGAAAAGCAAAATCGAGACATTGGGATCCTCGGGAGATTCTTTCATCAACTCCGAAGTTTCGCACTCTAAGAGCTACTGCTTTGGTTTATCGAGGCGTGGAAAGGCTGGAGTAACGAGCACCGACACGCTTTTCTTCGTCTACGACCTGGTTTTGGTTACTTCAATGGCGTTTTCAGGTTGTGAGATTTGGTTTGGTGTGTAGTTATGCATGAGTTTTTTGGTTCGATCTTGAAGAGATTTTTCCTGCTGCGAGTTGAAGGTTTGGCCTATTCCTTTTGCATTTGATTTTTGTTGATATTCAATAGCATTTGGAGAGAGGTCTGGAGTTTAATTCGTAATTTCTGAAATGTTTACATTCTTCTTAGTAGTTGGAGCTTCGGGGAGATGAGGAAAGAAAAGAGGGGAATATGCTTCGAATTTGTTATTTTCAGTAATTTTCTGTTTTTTCTCCAATCATTCATGTGAAGAGCTATTGATAAACTGAGTATCTGCTCTGCCTTTTTGGTAGCCGGGGACCTTTGTTCCTTCTGTTAGTTATGGCAACATCGCCGTAAGCGACCGAGACTGGTCAGCTTATCATCTTATCTTTAAGCCTCGAAATGTGTTTGAATGGACCACAGAATTGTTCGCTTTCATTTCGGTTTTCTGGTCTGTCTTTGTCCATATAGTGTCAGCTGTTCTCTTGCGTCTAATTTCGTTTTTACGTTCTGGAAGGATAGGAAGTTTCTTTAGGTTCTACTCTAGTCCAGATTATACCATGGTTTTTGAAAATGGGTTTCTTAGATAAAACATAGCAAACGGGCGCTAGTTTGTTGTGCTATTCTATAACACTTTTGGTATATCTATGCGAATTCCATTCCAGAAACTACTTTTAATACTTTATTTGGAATTATGTATTGTCAATGATCATGTGCAGTATTCTTATTATCTATTTTCATCTAATATTGAAGGCTTGGAATATTTCCTTGTAATGAGTTATATCCAAAGCAAGTAAGAGCATTGCAAATACAACTGGACTTTACTGAACCTATATGGTCTCATGGAACGGTTAGAAACTGACAGATATTCGGATGATCAACGATCCTTGGGTACCTCTGGGCAAGTTTCATTGTGCCATACTAGCGAAAGTTTAAAGCTGCATGAGAAGTTTAGAAAAGAAAGACATAGCTTTACATATGGTGAGGTCCGTGATAATCCTCATAAGACTTTCAGAAATCATCAGAAGGATGAAATTTCAGGAAAGATAACCAAGAAGGATGAAATTGTGAGATACATGTCGAATTTACCTTGCTATCTAGAACGTGGTGATCGTCTCCCGGAGAAAGTTCTTAGTGTGGGGGTTCTTGATTGGGGGCGTCTAGAAAAATGGCAGTATGGCCACAAACAAATATCAACCAGAAGAAGCTGGAATCCACCAGTCAGAAGTAATGGATCTTCATCCTATTCATCTGATAGCTCGTCTCCCCATTTTGGTAAATATCACATCTCTCCTCGTCAAAGATTACATCGGCCTTCACTCCATTCTCACCTGTTAGCTTCTCCTCATTCTCAATTTGTTAAATCCTTCGGAGAAAGTGATGAAAAATGTCAAGATCTTGACACGTTAAATATCCAAAGCAAGCCCATAAAGAGAAACCAGCATTCATGTAAAACAAATCGGGAAGTAAAGATTGAGCAGACAGAGAGAACAGGTCCAGAGACTGAAGTTCTCCAAGAATATAAAACTCTGCCAGGTGTGCTGAATTACGAGGTTGCATCTTCTCAATATGGGGAGCTTAATCGAGTAGATAAGTCTCGTGCACAAATAGATTCTGCAGATGGGCATGATGTGCTGGAAAAACATGAAGCAATTGTCCCTTTGCCCAGCAACTTAGTGAAAAAGAATGATACATATGTCTGTGAGCTTTCAGATTCCACTCTCTTATTAAGTCAAAGGACCAAAGAAGCAAGTCAGAAAAGCTCAATGAAGAGGTCTATAGTGAGTTTTTCTGCAGAGCTCAACTCTGATATCCCAAACTCGAGCAATACACCTTGTGAAGCTGATGGAGATCAGATTCTGCTGAAGCAAAATTGTCTTATAAATGCATCCAGTAATTCTCGCACTGTATCCAGGTCAGCTGGAGCAGGACATAGTCCATCTCAAGCTAGAATATCAGAAGCAAAAACATCAGTTGTTGCACCTTTAAATTCAATGGTCAAGTTGGCGTCTATTGGATTGGATCTGAAAGCAAGCACAGTTTCTGTTAACAAATCCAGAAGCTCTTCACCCTTTAGTCGATTAAACATTGGCATGGGTAGGAGACGTAAAAGTTCAAGTTCCGTGGGGAATTCATGCGACAGTGATCAAGATTCAGCATGCGTATCTGTCCAATCTGGATCTGAGAATGCGATGCCTTCAGCTTGTTTGAATGAGTTGAGGAATGATAGGCCCAGCAACACAGGCAGAGCTAGTTCCAGCCCTCTCAGAAGGTTGCTGGATCCTTTACTAAAGCCAAAGGCTGCAGTATATCATCATGCTGTAGAGCCCGTAGAGAAAGATTTGCATCACACGCCTGATAAAACATATAATCGACAATCAGAATCGTCAACAATACAACCAAGGAAACATAAGTTAGACATGAGCAGATGCAGGAAAATCAGTGTCAGCGATTCATCTCTCGACAAGAAGCACGGACCTTCTGTAGTTCATGCCCTTCTGCAAGTTGCATTTAAGAATGGGTTGCCTTTGTTTACTTTTGCAGTTGACAATGTCTCCAACATTCTTGCAGCTACGGTGAAGAGCTCCAGAAAAGGGACAGTTAGCCATATTTTTACCTTCTTCATTGTTCAAGAAGTTAAAAGAAAGACTGGAAGCTGGATAAATCAAGGTAGCAAGGGGAAAGGTCATGATTATGTCTCCAATGTCGTTGCACAAATGAACGCTTCTTATTCCGCGATTTCCCAGTTTACCAGACCAGATGTGCCTTCTACCAGAGAGTTTGTCCTGTTTTCTGTGGATTTGAGACAGGCAGATCAGCAGACCTCAGATTTCCTACCAAATGAAGAGCTAGCTGCTATAATTGTTAAATTTCCCCTAAAGATCAAGGAAGGCACTGCTACCGATGAAGTTAAAATACATGCTTACAACAACTTGACTAAGGGTGAATCTAGAGAATGTTCTCCTCGTTCCAAGGGCAGTGAGCCCTTTATCACTACCACAGTTTTACTCCCAAGTGGTATCCATAGCCTCCCGAGTAAAGGTGGACCGTCATCACTAATAGAGCGATGGAATTCTGGTGGATCATGCGACTGTGGGGGCTGGGATTTAGGTTGTAAACTCAGGGTTTTTACCAATCAGAATCAAATAATCGAGAAATCGAGTTCATCGCAACCGTCTCCAATAACAGATCAGTTTAAGCTTTTCCCTCAGGTATGAATGTTTGTTTTCTCCAATCTAATTCGAAAGCTTGTTATTATGGTCATTGCATTGTATTTAGTTTGATCTTTTTGACTCTTTGGTCACTTGCAGGATGGAGTACCCGAAAGCCATTGCGTTTTGAATCTGGCTACTTTCAAAGATATGATATACTCAGTTGAGTTCGATTCTTCTTTGTCACTTCTGCAAGCGTTCTCCATTTGTCTGGCAATGATAGACTGTAAGAACTCATGCGAACTTTCAGAATCAAGTATCTTATTTGAAGGAAAGACCTCTGGAGAATCAAAGTTAATGCACAATGATGGATTGTGGACTCCTAATCTTGCTGAAAGAGAGGATCCTGCAGAACACATAACTTGTCCGCCACTTTCTCCTTTTGGAAGGGTCTAGCTGGAAATCTGAACTTCCATAGACGTGTAAATGATATCAGGTATACATTTCCAGGCCCGGCAATCTCATTTTACTATTGTTGATCGGGCTTCACAGATAGATCCAGAACCTGAAGAACCTTTTCTTTTTAGATCTCTGTTCATTAGTGGTCAATCTATACGTAGATTCTAAGGTCTTCGTAGCTTTTAATTTTTTCTTTTTGTTGACAATAGAGGAAACATATAGTATGTACCTTTAAGGGAAGCAATCAATATCCATCTAAGTGTGTATATCCATGAGTGGAATGTGTAAAGTTCTTGCTACCTCATTGCATACTTTAATTCCTTTTTTTTCCCTGTTTTTTAATCCACCTTACATCAATAACTCGACACTTACCACCTATTGGTAGTTTTTTATAGTCTCTTTTGAAGTAGATACTAGAATGTCAAGTATGACTTGTAATAATCTATCTTTTGGGGTATACGATGATTCTTTCACTCCTAATGGATCGTTAATCGAGAACAATAGCTAAGGATCTAGATTCTTTGGTTAACATGAAGAAACCAAGATTAATGATTTCCATGGTTTTGTTGCAACACATTTTCATCTAGGATAAAATTTAAGCTTTTGGCTTGCAAAACTTGTTCATTTTCATCTAGGATAAAATTTAAGCTTTTGGCTTGCAAAACTTGTTCTCAACTGCTTGTTGGACAAACCTTTCCAGAACGTCCTTTAGGCCAATCGAGTTAATTTGACGATGACAATGACTCGAAGGTTCGGTAACTTGTGAACCTAAGTTTCTTTGGATGATAAAAGATCTTACCATTTAGCTATCCTTATACATGACAAGTTCTCAATTATTTTATGCTCATTTCCTTTTCAAGTTATGGCATGCTTCCTTTCAAAATATGTTACTATCATCACCCAATGTTCTCTTCATCATGTTCATTACCACACACCACGTTCCGTCCTTATCTCAAACAAAATTAGATGAAAATGTGTGGGTGAGACTGAGAGTGTGATGTATTATGTTATCAAATAAAGAACTACAGAACTTTTGATATTCATCTTTTTCGTCCCTAATCTTTGTATGGAGTCGTCAATTTTTTCCCTATATTTTAAATAGCGAATGGAGGAGGCTGCATGTGTCATGTGGCCTCCTTTAGGCAGCTAGGTCTGGCATAGGCCCACGATGATGCTCTGTTTAATGGTCTTTCTTGTCTGAGATGCCCCACTTGAGTTTTACTCTCTGATCGTCCTGCATTTTAGCTTCTTTTTTAGGCACATTCCCTTTTCATTGAATTTTGAAGGTGAAAATTTGCATAACCCACCAGTTACATCACATTACTATTCTTGGGTTTCTTCCAGTACCAGTTCCAAATCTTTCTTCTGTCATGCTCTTAAGGGATCAGGACGTAGTTTGACTTACAATTCTAATATATCTATATTTGTGTTTTGTAGCATTGAAGTTTGAATTTGTTTACCTCTTATTTGAAGTGTAACAGTCTAACCCCTAGCTAATATTATTCTCTTTGGACTTTTTGTTTAGGGCTTTCCCTCAAGATTTTTAAAATTCGTCTACTAGACAGAGGTTTCCACACCCTTATAAAAAATGTTTTGTTCTCCTCTCCAATCGATGTTAGATCTCGCAATCCACCCTCTTCGGGACCCAGCGTCCTCGCTGGCACACCGCCCAGTGTCCACCCCCTTCGGGGCTCAGCGTCCTCCATTGGTCGATATCTGGCTTTGATACCATTTGTAACCACCTAAACTCACCGTTGGCAGATATTGTCCTCTTTGGACGTTCTCTTTCGGACTTTCCTTCAAGGTTTTTAAAACATATTTGCTAGAAAGGTTCCACACCTTTATAAAAAAATGTTTCGTTCTCCTCTCCAACAAATGTGAGATCTCACATAATTTGTGGGGGGAACCGAGTTATATAAACTCGTTTACACAAGGTAACATGCATTTAGTTTGTGAGTTTGAGAGTTTGTGATATATTTGTAGGTTCGTAAGTTTTAGAAACTTGGATCATATGAACCCAATGAACGGAAAAGCTACTCATCTTGACTATCTCGTGATAACCATTAGACATGGATTATCTAATAACCATAGAATATAATTATGGCTCCCTCTCTTCTCCTAAATGTCTATTCTTGCATATACGTTGTTATCACGAGCAAGAAAAAAGAGAAAAAGAAAAGGCACACAGGTATTCATCTGATCTCTAACTTGTGAAATTGTTGTACTTGATAGACTGTTTCCTATGCTGACTAATTTTTACAGCTTTGACAGAAAACGTGGAACAAGGAAGCAGCTCAGCTAATAAGCTAATCTTAGCTCGGAATTCAAGCCCCTTTTTGGTGTGTATAATGTTGGTAAGTGGGCTTCATCATTTCCCCCCTTTCCCTTGTGCTTGTTGTTGCAGCCAATGATAGCAAACGCATAGGCATAGAGCCCAAATGCTGCTACTGCAGGAGCCTTCAATAAATCAGTCAAATTTTATGTGTCTTCTCTTTGTGATAATGATTAATTCCAGATGTTCTTTCTTTTGCAGGGAACAGTTCTTATTTTTTACGTTACTGTTGGCTTTGGCCACAACTGAATCTGCCTTTGATTCTCCAAAGAAATTGAATCTTATTTCTACTTCGGAGACATGTTTGCCAATATCGTGGTTTCGTTAATTATTAAATGTCATAGGATATCGAATGGTATAGTAGTGTAACAACCTAAGCCTACCGCTAGCATATATTAGCCCGATACATATCGTTGTCAGCCTTATAGTTTTAAAGCACGTCTTTTAGCTAGAGGTTTTCCACACCCTTACAATGTTTCGTTTCCCTCTCCACTCCCCTTGAGTGCCAACATACTCGTTGGCACATCGTTCGATGCCTGACTCTGTTACTATTTGTAACCATTTAAAGCTTGCCGCTAGTAGATATTGTTCGTTTTGATCCATTATGTATCACCTTCAGCTTCATGGTTTTTAACTTCACAAATAGTGACTCTTAAAATTGACCTAAGCTTGACCCAGACTTGATATAAGCTTGGTTCGTTGACAAAATTTGTTAAAATATTTCAGATTGGACAATATTTGAATTGATTGGTTGGACCGATATAATAAGGATATTTAAATTTTTTATTGTCATCTTTAATTAAAAAAGTGTAAGAATATATATATACATAAAAACTTTTTAAAAATAAACATAATAATACCCTCCATTTGTAATAAAAAAAAAAAATATCAAACACTTTTAAAATTAAATTAAATAGGAAATATAAATCTCATAAAGTTCAATAGAATTTAGATAAGACTATAGGTTAGGTCATGGATTATTTATTGCAAGTTGAATCAAGATGAAGTGACCATAATTTTCATCCAAAATTTTAAAATATTTATATAAAAAAAATGGTAATGAGCGGTAAAATTAAGTATTTTTCATAATTTAACGTTCAACTAAATGAAAAGAAAAAATGAAAAAAAAAAAAAAAAACATTACTCCACGCGCTGACATGAACGGTTTGAGGTGCATCTTACGCGACTAAACTCGCAGCTTCGAGTCACAGTAGTAGACACTGAAGAACAAGAGAGAGAAATTGAAGCAGAAGATTGAGAGGAGAGAGAAGCAGTGAGAGGAAGCGAAATGATGAGGTTGTAAGAAAGTGAAGAAGGTAACAGAGGCTTTGGATCGGAGAAACAAAAGCGTCAATCCTTTTCCTTCTTCTTGTTACGCTCTACTTTCTCGATTCCCTAACCAACGCACACCAACTCTACTTCTTCCTTACTTGCTGCAGCTCGCCTTTTCTCCGTTACTTTTTTCTTCAGTTTGCGTGTGTTTACGGGAGGAAGTTGTGTTGTGATTTTGGTGGTGGAAGGTTCACGAACAGGTTGTTTTTTCTATCTGACTTTTGGTTTATTGCAATGGGAGCTCGTTGCTCCAGATTTGGACTCTGTTTTTGGCCTTCTCAGATCGAATCTAATCTCAACGATTTGTCCTGCGCCGGTGAGTTTTACTCTGTGGTTTTGATTTGTTTATGTTTTTTTTTTTTATTTGTAGTTGTTGGAATTAGATTTGTGTTGTGAATGCAGATAATGAGGACGCATTGCCTGGATTCTGCGAGTACAGTTTTGATCAGTTAAGAGCTGCTACTTCGGGATTTTCTTCGGAGAACATTGTTTCTGAGCATGGAGAGAAAGCGCCCAATGTTGTTTATAGGGGAAAACTTGACGATGACCGAGTGATTGCTGTGAAGCGCTTCAACAAGTCGGCTTGGCCTGATTCTCGCCAATTCCTAGTCCGTGATTTACTCTGATTTGAGCTTTGTGTTTATTTTTTGTTATGCATTGTCTCAATGTTAATGAACTGTGTGAGTATGCATATTTTTTTCTGAGCAAGAACGTTTAAGGTGATTGTTAGTAGTGTTTTTGCTTTTCAGGATGAAGCTAGAGCTGTGGGGCAGCTAAGGAATCAGCGGCTGGCGAATTTGATTGGATGCTGCTGCGAGGGCAATGAGAGATTGCTAGTGGCTGAGTTCATGCCCAATGAAACTCTTTCCAGGCACCTTTTTCATTGTAAATTTTCTAGCTTAAATTAACATTTATGATGCTGAAACTTCTTTACATGGATTTCGCCTTTTCTTTTTGGTTTGTCTGTTATACTTTATATATCTCGAAGTAGAATATATAATTAATAGCATCCTTGATGGTGGTTGAAAAGCAAGCATGTAAGAGTACGCTTTTAGTTAATTTTCTATATTAATGACCTTATAGAAACTAGATTGCCCTGTTTTTCTTCTTTTTTTTTTTCTCCAGAAACTAGGTGATGAAATGAAATTTTGCTTACAAACACTTCGTATATATGGTAATTGATTCGGTTTTGGTTTTTCATTGTCAGATATGGGGGGAAGCACATTTTAAGATCCATTAGTCTTAGGTTCACGTGCCGTTCTAGTCATTTAATTTGAATACTTATAGGGTTGATTTTCTGTAGGGGAAACGCAGCCCATGCAGTGGGCAATGAGACTCCGAGTGGCATTATATCTAGCACAAGCTTTGGAGTACTGCAGTAGTAAGGGACGCGCATTGTACCATGACCTTAATGCTTATAGAGTTCTCTTCGATCAGGTACATATATGCATCCACCATGTTTCTATAGTTCTATATTTTTCTCGTTTGGATATATTTCGTGTACTCAGTAATAATTAGCTCTGCCAAGCAGGATGGTAATCCCAGGCTATCCTGTTTTGGCCTTATGAAGAACAGTAGAGATGGAAAGAGCTATAGTACCAACCTGGCTTTCACCCCTCCAGAATATATGAGGACAGGTATTGAACATTTAAAGATTAGATACGGCGTGTTTAGGCCATTGTAGAGATTCGTTGGTAAAATTCCTAAAAGTTATTGGTTTCTATGACATTACGTAACGGCTCTAGATATAGTACAGAGGATTAGTCCAGCAAATGACAAGCAACGCCATTGTTAAAAAAAATGCTTCATGAGTATATATATAACCAGCATGGCCACATCTGTTCGTTCTGCACTATGCTAATTGTAGAATTTCCATTTGACAGGGAGGATAACGCCAGAAAGTGTTGTTTACAGCTTTGGCACTCTATTGCTTGATCTTCTCAGTGGCAAACATATTCCCCCTAGCCATGTAAACTGTTTCCTCCTTCAGAAGTTTCTCTCTTGTGGAAGTTTGATTTGACTTTATCCTGAAATACAACCAAAGAATTTACTCCAGAAATTTAGCTTCAGTAACTTGGTTGTGGCTCTGACTAATTATCAGCATTTTAAGGAACACTGCACTGGGCTTTATTATTACAGCTTTTGCATTCTGAATTTTGGAAACTTCATGTTGAATTTTAATCAAGTTCACTTCTCTCAGGCACTGGATCTGATACGTGCCAAAAATTTTCCGATGCTGATGGACTCGTGTTTAGAAGGTCATCTCTCTAATGATGAGGGGACTGAACTAGTGAGGTTGGCTTCAAGATGTTTACAGTATGAACTTCGTGAGAGGCCAAATGTCAAGTCTCTTGTAATTGCTCTCACTGCTCTTCAGAAAGAAACCGAGGTACAGTACGACCATACGTTTGTTTTAATATCCTGGTATTAGCTATCCATAACAGTTGGGTTAGTTAGTATAGTCTGTAAAAGATGCTATGTTTGCTACAGTACGCAGCTAAGGCCATAGGCCAATTATATTCTATGAAGCCGGTTGGCAACAATGCAAAAAAAGAAAAAAAAGAGAATCGTCCAAATTCATACAGTTCTATCCACTGGTTTATGTCAGGTTCCTTCTTACGTTCTTATGGGAATTTCGCATGGGAATGCTTCCTCCAAGCAAATTTCATTATCACCTTTTGGGGAGGCTTGCTCAAGAACGGATCTTACTGCAATACATGAATTTTTGGAGAAGGCTGGATACAAGGATGATGAGGGAGTTGCAAATGAGGTTGGAAAATTCATCTTTAAATTTAATTTTCTAAGATCAGAGACTATGGAGATTCTTATTAGGAGTTCTTTGTTCATTTTAAGGGACGTGAAATTAGGCTGAACCTGTTTATCATTTTTCTTGACCATGCCAGTAAAATGCGGCTAGCTATTTGTCCATGTTTCTTAATTCATTCTAAAGGGTCGTGAAACTAGGTGCACTAACTGCTTATTAACTAAGTTCATTACGTGTTGATCCCATCTAATTTTCAGTGGCATAATTCCCCCTCAGTTTATATAACTGAAAGTACCTTTTAAAAGTTGGTCTAATTCATTGCTCATCAGTAAAGAGTTTGCTTTGTCTTTCAGCTTTCTTTCCAAATGTGGACAAGCCAAATACAGGAGACACTCAATTCTAAGAAGCGTGGGGACTCGGCATTTCGAGCTAAAGACTTCGTAAATGCCATCGATTGCTACACGCAAGTATGTGATAAACTTTTAAAGATGAAATACTCTGATCCAATTTCTTGGCACCTTTCATTCTGTAGTGGAGAAAATTGATTATAATACCATAAAAGAGACAAACCGACATGTTTTGATAATCGGACTTCTGGCATCGACGTTGTTAGTTGAAACAATCTTCTTTTGAATGTGCAGTTTATAGATGGAGGAACCATGGTATCACCAACAGTTTTTGCTAGACGTAGTTTGTGTTACTTGATGAGTGACATGCCTCAGGAAGCTCTAGGAGATGCTATGCAAGCCCAAGCAGTGTCACCAGACTGGCCAACTGCCTTGTATCTTCAAGCTGCCGCCCTTTTCATCCTTGGAATGGAAAATGATGCACAAGAAACTCTGAGAGATGGAACGACCCTGGAATTCAAAAAAGAAAGAACTTGAATCTGTATAGGTATTTCTCTTTAATTTAACATTATTATTTTTAAATATTTCTTTTCTGTTTAAGTTTCTGTAACACCAAAAGGGTATGATTATTGAACTTGTGAGATGATGTTGGTGCAAATTTATATTTTCATTGCCCAACAAAGCTATCTGTTGATTCTGTTCTTCTCCAGATGTCAAATCTCTTGTTATATTCCTTCCTTGCTTCATGAATTTAATGATATAAGTCTGAGATTGGCTACAAAGAAAACTGATTTTTGCCACCATTTTGGTCTTAAATACTGTCTGAAAATTGGTAACTAGAGCTTTTAAATGGATGATTTAAGACCTAGCTCACCAACTCGAACCTATTTCAACTAGTTCACATTAACTTTGACTAAGATAGAATCTCCACCCAAGTTTTTAAATCGGGCCGCACAAATTTTAGACAGGCAACGATGAACATTTTATGCAGCATCTATTTTTGACTTTTTTTTGTTCTTTGGTCATTTCCGATAACCTGTTCGAGATGACCTTAAGACAAAAACTAGTTGCTTGCCCAGCACATGTCGTACTTCCCAATCCTCTTAAACCTATTAAAAAGACGTCATTGAAACCAATTAAGTTTTTCTTGCAAAGTTACATTTTAATGAACACAGCAATACATCAAAGAAAATGATTATAATTCTTGAAAATTTTGATTTTTTTTTTTTTTTTTTAATTCTTCCCAAATGAACTCTTCAACACTTTCCATGTTTAAAAAAGGAAACATTATTGTATTCATCTCACAGCAGTAGGACAAAAACACTGATTCACAAATATCAACCAGATTCTTAAACCTCGATTCAACAATAAAATCTACAAGTATCTGAGAATCGAGTTCGAACTTACACAAAGTTCGGGACGATTGATCTTTCATTTCATCCCGGATCGCAAGTAAAGCACAGAATGCCCCTCATATAATGAAGTTAGGAAACCTGACTATATTTTTTAAGGACTGTAATCGCAGTCATGAAGTTTGAACTTCAGCTGATGGGTCGCTGTCTCCCGAACTCGGTAAGCTAGCAATATACTTCCAACAGCGCTTGTGAACGCCACTGATCTTCTTCGGAGCTTCTGCGATAGGCGTACCTGGAAAATACATTCGTTTCAACCTCCGTCATTGATGGAAGTAGTTTGCAACAAGCAACAATAACAAACAGGAAGATAAGTCCTAGAAACTTAAATTTTAACTATCATTTGTAAGCAATACAATAACGGTTGCCAACCGAGTCCAGAGTCGCCTCGGTAGAGAGTTCAAAAGGGATGAATCTCAAGAGCTAACTTTCTCGACCTAACTACAACTTAAGCTGTAACGGCACAAGTCCACCACTAGTAGATATTGTCTGTTTGGGCCCGTTACGTATCACTGGTAGCCTCATGGTTTTAAGACGCGTTTGTTAAGGAGAGGTTTCCACACCCATAAGGAATGTTTCGTTCCCCTCTCTAACCAATGTGGGATCTCACATAAACTTTTAGGACGTCTCATGCTTTAAAATTCAAAACTTGAAAACTTACGGACTATTTATTGTAGAACACAGTATGTTTATAAACACTACTTGCACCTATTGTTATCTTCTTTCTACCGTTATTTTAAAAACTAAGCCGAGATTAGAAAGCTAAAAATGTAGCTTCCAAAAACTTCTTTTTCTTTTTTGTTCTTAGAATTTGACTAAGAACTTAAAGTGGTTGCTTAAGAAAGGTGAGAACTATAAAATGAAAATTGGGAGGAAACAAACATGAACTTCAAAATCAGAAAACTAAAGACAAAATCTTATCAAACGAGACTTAAATTGTCACGAAACATAATCCTATACACCAAAATCAAAGATTAGTAAATAGTGAATATTGAATAATTTTCCAACATTCATCATCTAAATCAACTATAAGGCATTAGCTCTTTGATGTCATGGTCCCAAATTATAGAACTTGGCCTAGGTTTGAACATACAAGAGATCCAATTGTTGCTCATTCTTCTATATAATTATTGGAACAAAATTCCAGCAAAATGAAATTCTAATAACGATTGAGGAACAAATTTGGCGATATAGAATCACTAACCATCTTTATGAGCAACGCCCCATGCCTTGCCATGCGTGCCACTCTGTATAAAACAATCGAAAGTAAAAAGAACTCAAATCCTGAATCAGAGAGCATTGAAAGAAAACAGATCTAATTTGATTATCAATTGTCATAGGAAAAATGTCAAACGCCTCCGGAGTCTAAAATTCTACAAATCTTCGTAAACGATTAAAGTAAACAAAACCGTTGTGTTTACTTGAATGCACATAAGAAATGGTAAGCACTTGGAGAAACTGAAAACCATTTGTTTCAAACTTTGTGCAGATTATAGAGAAGGAATGATCTCAAATGAACCGCCACATACATTGATCTAAGAAAAGAAACCAGATGAAGACATACCTTGTACAGATTTATTTTGGTGATCTGGTACGATATTTCATCCCAATGAGCCTTGGCGACATGGTATCCTACTCCCCAATGTTGGTGACAACAGAAAACTAAAGTGAGATTGAGAGGAGGAGTGATTTGAATGATGGGGAGGGAGGTCCTTTTATAGGGGATTCCAGAGTGGGTTGAGATTTTCTAGGGTGATTCCGTAGTCGGTTGAGATTTTTGTGAATGAATTTGAATTTGAAACCAATTCAAATTCTATTCTGCATACCTTGTACAGATTTATTTTGGTGATCTGGTACGATATTTCATCCCAATGAGCCTTGGCGACATGGTATCCTACTCCCCAATGTTGGTGACAACAGAAAACTAAAGTGAGATTGAGAGGAGGAGTGATTTGAATGATGGGGAGGGAGGTCCTTTTATAGGGGATTCCAGAGTGGGTTGAGATTTTCTAGGGTGATTCCGTAGTCGGTTGAGATTTTTGTGAATGAATTTGAATTTGAAACCAATTCAAATTCTATTCTATTATTAGCTATTATTAGTTTCAACACCCTCCCTTAAACTGAATTCTGCGAAATCAGTTTAGGACTTCATTTCATCTTCTTGATATACATCTTGGATTCTGCATATCCCCATCTTTCTTCTGAGCTTCTCGAACAATGGTTGTTTCAAGGGCTTTGTGAATAGGTCTGCGATTTGTTCATCACTTCGGCAAAAGTTGAGTTCAATAATGCCTTCTTTACACAAATCACGCAAGAAATGAAATCGAACATCGATGTGCTTGCTCCTTCCATGCAACACAGGATTTTTAGACAACTTAATAGTTGACATATTATCACAATATATAACCGTCGTACTGGGTTGCTTCTGATTAAGAATTTCAAGCATTTTTCTTAACCAAATTGCTTGGCACGAGCATGCTGCTGCTGCCATAAATTCTGCTTCTGTCGTTGAGAGTGTTACAATAGGTTGCTTCTTTGAAGACCAGCAAATAGCTCCTGAACTCATCAAGAAAATACTTCCTGAAGTACTTTTACGATCGTCTATATCACCTGCATAGTCGCTATCTGTATAGCCAACTATCTTCGGATCATCTCCTTTTTTGTAGAATACCCCCAAATCAGAGGTTCCTCTCACATAACGAAGTATCATTCTTGCTGCATTGAGATGTTTTTCCGTTGGATGCTCCATGTAACGACTTATCATACTAACCGCATACATGATGTCTGGTCTTGTTGAAGTTAGGTACATCAAACTTCCCACAATTTGTTTGAAATACCTATTATCAACCTCTCGCCCGTCAATGTCCTTGTGCAACTTTAAACCCAATTCTGATGGAGT